ATTTTTTTTTTTTTTTTTTGGTACCGGGGATCAAACTCAGGACCTTGTGCTTGCCAGCCAGGTGGCGGCATCACTGAGCTCAATCCCTGGCCTTTAAAAAAAATTTTTAACAGAAACATGAATTGGTAGAGGACGAGTTCAATCCCCAGTACCACCCCCCCCCCAAAAAAAAAGAATTGGTAGAGGAAATTTAGTCTTGGTGCACTGTGGCAGCTACTATATTTATTTGTTGGTTTTTATGCATAAGCCAGGACCAGTGCTTCAGAAATATGTTAGCATTGAAGATAATTTTCCTGTCCTATGTATCTTATTTCTCTTTGGAGGTTAAGTATATTTCCTTTATAGAGTATCATACAGACACCATAAAGACATATGACTGTAGGGTCTTTCTACTTTTATTTGAATAAAAATATATTGGATTTTAAAAGCTAAGGCATATTATTGTGTTCTTTTAAATTTTAGCACATTGTTGATCCTCAGTATATCTCAGAGAGCCTAGAAGGCATTATGTGATTCAGGTTGATAGGTGACATCTCCCTGTTTAACTTTTTAAGAGGAAAAAAATGGGCAAATTTGGCCTCCTAAGTGACTAAACATTTTTGGATTAAGATTACTAAAGGCACTCCCTTTCTGGGAAGAACTGATTTACAAGTGGGTGGCTGGGTAAATGCTTAGAACTATTATTGGGATGGAAGTCTAAGGAAAGTGTATTTCCAGTGTCTTTAACAGATCTTAAAATTACGTCTTTTCCATTTAATTAAGTGGAGATCAGTAGCACTTGTAAATGTATTTATAGCCCCTCTGTTGGTGAGAACAGTCAGTGACCAGCAGGCTGACAGCAAGGAGAAAAGAGGAATGAAAACCGTTAGTTCTAGGTGATTTGTTTTACACACACACACACACACGCACACACAGATGTACATATACTTGTCATACATATGTAAAAGAACATGAAAACATTGCATATGTTTTACTAATGTTAAATGTTTAAAATGTTAGTAATGTTAAATGACCCATCTTAACATTGCAAGAAGTATCTTCCTTTCTGTTTTGTCCTCTTTCCCACATGGGCAGCCATGATTCTCAATTTTGTGTTTATACATATTTTTAAATCCTCCAACCTGAAACATTAATTTATTAACCTAAAAGTTTTATGCCATTCTTTGATGACATTTATTTCTTTACTTTTGTAATCCTTTGTGTTTCTTTATAATGAGTGGAGAAATGCATTAGAAACCAATATATTTTTATTCTTGTATTCATCTTTTCATCTGCTATTCTTCTGGCCATCCCAGAGAATTTATTAAAGTCATCCAACTTTATTTAGTTAGTATTTCCATTGAGGCCAGCACAGTAGAGTCGATGGTTACCTTTAGCATAGTCATCTGGCACTGGAGATTTTGTGTGTGTGTGTGTGTGTGTGTGTGTGTGTGTTTTGTATTCCACCTAGTGGAATGAGTGAGAAGTACATTTAAACCTTTTTTTTGGTTTTATCTAAAGATAGGATGTAGCTCGTGAATTTTTAAAAAAAGTTTACTGTCAGTCTGCCTTTGGACACAGCATTTTAAAAAATTTCTCCTCTTCTGCTCCTATCTCAAATAATAGTCATTGTTGAGGAAGATAAGTTGGTAGGTAGATAATTGTATTTTCTTCAGGAATGAGATTTACAAATTACAATAAAACACCCCTTTTTTCAGTATTCCTGAGCTTTATAACAGCCTGTTTGTTGAAAAGTTTTGCATTTAACATTAGTCTGAATTTAACATTCCACTGGGCACCCGATGGTGAGAATTCACCATTCCTGTATTTTGGAAAGAAAAGAGTTACAAGTCACAGTGAGTGTCTTGCTTCTTTTTGAGTTGGATGTGTTATATATGTGTATGTACTACACTTGTACATTACTGTAAGGGCAAAATCAAACTAATTTCAAGTTCTTAATGACTTTAGTGAATGAAAAGTGGTATTTAACTTTATTGAATGGAAAGTGGTATTTGATATCCCTGAAGACTAAAATCTCGTCTACCCACAGGTTTTTAGAATTTTCTCAATTCTGTGGCTGAGAAAAAATAAAAACCTCATTCCTCAAAAGAGTCAATAATTGGAGGCAGTTGGGTTAGCTACAGTAGAAGTTAAAGTTGTTATTTTTAAGTATGACTTTTCTGACTTGGTAGAACCTAACATTCTTTTTTTGTTACCGGGGATCAGATCCTCAGGTCCTTGCACTTGTGCAGCACTGAGCTAAACCCCTGGCCCAGCTTCTAACATTCTTGCGTGTTACAGGATCCTGATGGAGAAAATGCTCGTAGAGCATTACAACGAACAGGAGGGTCATTTCCAGGAGGCCATGCCCCTGAGATGGGGACCGGGTTGATGAATTTACCACCATCCATTCTCAATAACCCAAACATTCCTCCTGAGGTCATCAGCAACTTGCAGGCTGGGAGACTTGGTTCCACAATTTTTGTTGCTAATGTAAGTTTAAGCTTAAGTCTTAAAATGTTATTCTTCAGCTACCTACTTAGTTTTAAGCATGAGATTGTTTAATTAGATGAATGATTTTCAGTTTTATAGAACATTTTGCTTGGTTTTAATTAGTGCAATCATAATTATTGTTAACCCAAACCCAATTTAAGTCTGTATGTATGAGATGAGATTAGAATTTGAACACAACTATCTTTTTAAGCAGGACTAGAATTTATAAACATTTGAGCAGTTCATAATATTATCTGCTTTAATTATATGTGTTTTTATTCATACTGGTAAATGGATTTCATTTTTGTAGTCTTGATTTGTGAATGTGCATGTTGTAGTTGGTTTATTATTCTGAGTTCTTGACAGTGAGTAAAATGGACAGTACTTTTCAAAATCTGAATTTCTTTTATTAAAAATAGATGTGTAAATTTCAAGTACAGACATTCCTCATTTAACAACTGAGCTCTGGTCTGCTAAGTACGTCATTAAATGAATTGGTCGCTAAATGAGGAATTGCGTAGTTTGTACATTAAAACATTGGGAACAAAGAAATGGGCAAAGGAAACTTCAGCTTGATGACTTTGCCTTTATTTGCATAACTCTTGCATGCAGTACTGGAATGTATAACAACATAAAGCTACAGTGCTATTCCGTATAGTACAATCAGAAATTACAGCACTATATCAACAGGGTATACTGTACAAAAAGAAAAAAAAGACATCGAGGCTATATCAACAGAACTCTAGAAAAACTATACAAAACAGAACTATACAAAAAAAAAAAAAAAAAAGATAAGCTGTAAGTCCAAGTGGCAGGTTGTAAGTTTGAGCAGTCATGAAACAGGTAGGTTGTTAAACAAGGAAGATCTGTATGTAGAAGGGGATTGATTTGGGGAATTAAAAAAATAAGGACAAGCAACAGTGTAGATATAGCTGAACTGATTTTAAACAACTTAAGATTTTTGTATTTAAACATTATTGGTATACTATTGAACAAGAGCCGTAGTTTAGAAAAGATTCTTTTGTATTTATAAAATGGGAAATTTATTAGTTATCTAACTTTATACATTTTTATGTTAAGCTGGACTTCAAAGTTGGTTGGAAGAAACTAAAGGAAGTGTTCAGCATAGCTGGAACTGTAAAGCGGGCAGATATTAAAGAAGACAAAGATGGCAAGAGCAGAGGAATGGGCACGGTCACTTTTGAGCAAGCAATTGAAGCAGTTCAAGCAATTTGTATCCTGATTGACATTTTAGTATTGTTTAATGAGGCTGGAGAAGCTTGGTACCATCTTGTGGGGGCCATGGAATTCAAGCTTGCCTAGGTTAGATGTGTATGTTGCACTTCAGTCTCCAGCACATAAAACCTTCACTGTGTCCAAGTACTAAAGTCACTCTTAGAGCTTGAGTTAGCCATATGGTATGTACAGGGCTGGTATGAATTGTTTTCTACTCCCTTCCTACCACAAATAATTGTATGCATGCATGCTTTGGATTGTTAGTACGTGTACTCCTTTGTACATTAATGCAGTTGTTTAGATGAATGAAGGCTTGTAAATTTTCTTTTTCAGTGGTTGAATTAATATATTTTATTCGTAAAATAAAACTATAGAGCATAAAATGTTTTCTTTATATGGAAGATTTGTGCCAATAAATACTAAAGGTGTTAAAATATTAGTGATAGTTCAGTACTCCTTCAATAAGATTAGTTTGTGTTCAGGTATAATTTTACAGTCATCCTAACTGACTTTCCTTGACTGAAACAACAGCTATGTTCAATGGGCAGTTTTTATTTGACAGACCTATGCATGTGAAAATGGTAAGTGCCTCTCTGTCACTTACCCCTCCAACCACTCAATCTTTGTCAGCATTACGCTTCTTTTAGGTAATGCATTAACCATATGATACTCTTTTGCAATTAGGATGACAAATCTGTACCTCATGAAGACTACCGTTCACATGATAGTAAAACACCACAATTACCACGTAAGTAAAATCTATTTTTTGAAATAACATAGTCTTTGTCTTTTTGGTTTTGTTAGGTGCTAATAAGCAAAAGTTTTTGTGCCAGCATCCAAGTTCCTCACAGTTTGGGATTAGTTTTGGAGTTTTAAGCATAGTTTGGTGCTATTAATTAGGAACACTGAGAAGATAAACATTATATGCCATATTTTTTCTTTTGGTAGTTTTTTCTGACTGTGTAAGCAGTCATGCTAAAGTATGTGATAAGTTCATACTTATGAAGGGTAAAAAGTGTTCTGTTATTTCCCTACCACCTTAACATTTTTGTATATTTTCTTCCAGTCTTGTGTACATATATTTTTTTACATAGTTGAGAACTATGTAAATAATATTGAGTGTTTTTAGTTGTTTATGTATTTTAACAATAAAGCATAACCATTTTTCTATATTGAAGATTCTTTCCAAATGTTTTTATTGGGTGCCATATATTTGCTCTATAGCTGTTTCACTGTTAAATATTTATTTTAGGTCTTTTAATTTTTATTTCTTTTATTTTCCAACAGAGTAATGTGTGCTTTTTTATATCTAAAACTTTAGTAGTTTTTTGGATGTTTCCTAAAGGCAGATATCCTTAGGTAGATTTTTAAGGTATGAAGGTGTACCCATTGATTAGTATTACCAGATTGTTTTCCAGAGGGTTATAGAACAGTACTGTAATGTACTGAACACCTGTGTCTCAGTGTCCTGTCTCAGAAGTGACAATAATTACCCTACAGTATCCTAGTACCTCTCATGGCAGAAGTAGTATGAGCTAAAGCCCCAGCCCCCAAGAACCACTGAGCTAAAGCCCCGGCCCCATAATTTTTAATTATTAGAAACATTGAGGGCTGGGGCTTTAGCTCAGTGGTTCTGGGTTCTGCCGCCTGTCTTGCAAGTGCATGGTCCTGAGTTCGATCTCCAGTACCACCCCCCCCGCCCCCTCCCCGTCGAAAAAAACATTGAGTTGGGGAGTGTTGGTTCTTTTTCTGTTAGAATTACATATCCTTTAATGTTTGTGAAATGTTATATGTAAAACTTTCTAGTCTTTATATATTATTTGGGGGAAGGTTTTTGAACTATTGATCATATTTTCTATCACTTCTAGAGTGATGTTTGGTAATTTCTGTTTTTCAGAGGATTTTTTCATGTTTGCTCATTTTAAAATTTATTGGCATAAAATTGTTTCTTAAATTTATGTCCATATTTCTGTCTCCTTTTGAATTCTAAAGTTCACAATTTCTTTATTTTCTGGTTCGATTTTCCTAGAAATTCGTCAGTTTTGTAAATGTTTTCAAAGAAGAGAATTTTTCCCCCAATATTGTCTTAGCCTCTTGATTTTTTCTTTTTTGGCTAAGTTGAAGGCTTACTTGACTAGTTTGCAGCCTTTCTTTTGTAAGATAAACAATTAAGATTATAAATTCAGCTACTGTATGCAGGTTCTGCTATGGAGTATTTTTATTATAACTCAGTTTTTAAACTGTTTAAAAGTTACCACTGTGATTTATTCTTGAGTCATGTATTTACAATGTTGTGATATTTGAATTTTTAAATGCATGAGTTTGTGTTTTATTTCTGACTTCAGTATGGTCAGAAAACATGGTCTGTATGACTGTGATTACTTGAAATGAGTCTGGACTGACTTACGGGCCTGCCACGTGGCACATGCTTCTGAGTATCCAGGTGCCTGGCGAGTAGTGCTCCACCCAGTGAGTGGGGCTGGCCCCTCATGGCGGCCTTACACCCTTACTAAGAGTTTGTCTTGTTTCTGCTGCTGATTACTTAGAGCTGTAAACATCTCTCATCAGGGAGAGATTTCTGTATTTTTTCTTGTTTTTCCTTAAATATTTTCAAGCTAACTTAGTAGGTGTATCCAAGATTAGAATTGATACACTTTAAAAAAAAAGAATTGATATATTTTCCTAGTGAATCAAACAACATCATTATAGGGTGATTTAATCTTTAGTAATTACCTTTAAATCCTTTGTCTAATGCTGCTTATATAAGTACAACAGTTTTGTGTGCTTAGAATTTCTTTGTTACATTTTACCTGCCCTTTAATATTTTACTCTCTTGGATGTGTCCTTTACAAACTAGTTCTTTGGTTGGGATTAGATTTTTTCAAAATCAGTTTGCCAGTCTTTACTGTTAAATTGAAGAGTTTCACATATGTTGATTGGTTTGTTTGGATTAATTTCCATTATCTTATTTCATGTTCCTTTTTTGTTTTGTAAATATTTATTCTTCTGTCTTTTTTAAGTAGTTATCTTGGATATTTTAGTATGTCTGTATAAAGCCTAAAGTTAATTATTCCTCTGTTCAGTTTAGAATGACCTTACAGTGCTTCAATTCTACTCACTTTCCTACTGAATTAAATGGTATTATTCCCTAGTGGTCTAGCAGTATATTACTTTTTCCCTACCACAAATTAGACTTTATTATTATTATTTTCTAGTTTTCTTGTCTTATCATTCCTCTGCTTTCACAGACCCTGACACTAATTTTTTTCTCTTTGAAACATGTATTTTAGAAGCTGTTTTAGCAAGGATCTGTTGTTGGTAAATTCTCTCAAGCTGGTTTGTCTGCAAGTGTCTTCAAGCTTTACGGAGTTCAGCATTGATAGTTATTTTCTCTCGGCACTTTAAAATACCTCCAAAGTCCTCTGCTTTCTGTTATTGCCATTAAGTCAGCTGTTGATGAATTACCCTGTCTGTAGGTAATCTGTGTTCTTCATAGAGCTGATTTTAACGTCTTGGTCTTTCTTTGGTGGGCAGCTTGACTAGACTGTGCATGTGTGTATGCATGTGTGCGTGTGTCATGAGGCTTTCACAGTGTGAGAGTGGAAACCCCAGGTGAGGCAGTCCTTCTCTTTCCACGTTTACCCACCCAGGCAGCTATCCTCTTCAGGGTCCTGGCTTTGTGTCTGGGCTTCCAGTGTACTTTTTCACTATTAATATTCTTCTGTTTATTTAGATAAAACGTCATACTATGTTCACATCTCCATGGTACACACACTCTTTTAGAGATGGATGTTTTTATAAGCTTTCCTGTGCTCAGATGCGTTATGCATTCATGGACTTTGACGGAATTGATTTCTTTCCATTAAGCTAGTTGTCACAGGACACACCCTCCATGTTCGCTCCTCTCCTCTCTCCTTTCCTTTGCTGAAACAATTGTAATTGGCAAGTAGGAACATCCTGTTTCCCAAACCTGCCTGTCTGACTTTTGGTAAAAACAGAGTTGCAGGTCCATAGGTCCATTCTGATTTTCTTGTTCTGAGACGCTGGACCAGCTGCCTCCACAAAGTGCAGAGTGGCGTTGGGTGGGAGGGTGAGGTTGAGTGCTCGCAGGAGCCTGGAGGCCGCCCGTGCTGTGCCTTCTGCCTGGGACTTTTCTAGAGACCGAGTGGGAAAAAGATATTTCTAAAGTATTGATCTTTACAATTCCAGACAACATGCTTCTGTGTTCTAATTTCTAAAAATTACATACAGGGTATGATTTTCCCAGCCCTAAGACTTATTTACTGCTACTATGACTAGAAAGAACTTTAAAACTGTACTCAGGTTTAGAAGAATCAGTCACCGTCCAAATGTTCCTTAGTTTTACTATATATGAGGTCATCAAATTATACCTCTTAAGAGTTGATTTTAACTAATTTATTTATTTTCAAAGAGATCATATAAAACTCCTAGATTTAAGGACAGAAGACTTCTAGTCTTAGCTTAATCACATAGCTAAATGTCAGGTAATACTGTAGGTAGTACAAGGTCTCAGCAGTTTCATCTGTGGGTGATAGATATGAAACAAGGTGCTCTACAAATGTAAGTATATATTTATGTCACTAATAAAACCAGATTATGTAATATTTGCTTCATTCAGTATTATGTTTTCATGGTTGTTGACTTTTTTAGTTTGAGTTGACCGTAATGCTAAGGTTTAAGTGATTATACATGTTTGCAAATTTTCCTCTTTAGTTTTGTATACCTTTTATAAGGTGATACATCATTCAGAATCCTTTTGGCGTTTTGTTCATTCACTCTACCTTTAGGTCATAAGTGGAACCTGCTTTATAACACAACTTATTAATACACAGTATTATAGCCAGGCTTCTGTATGCTGCTTTCTAATTTTAGTATATGTGCTGCCAAAGTGAGCACTGTGTGCTGCTTTCTAAACGAACACAAGAACCAATGCTCTTATTTGCAAATTTGCAACATTTTTGAGATCCTAGTACAGGCACATGGTTGTTTTTGTATTTTAGTGCCAGTTAATTGTATAGAGGTCTGGTAATACTGTTCTTTGTGTTTGAGGTGGCCTTGGTGGCATTGGAATGGGACTTGGTCCAGGTGGACAGCCTATTAGTGCCAGCCAGTTGAACATTGGTGGTGTAATGGGAAATTTAGGCCCAAGTGGTGAGTATTCTAACTCTCTGATTTCTTTTTAAATGATACATTTGCTGTATAATAAACACAGGGGTTATTAGCCTGTCATGATATTTAAAGAACTTCATTTTAGAGATATTTAGGATGTCACTTTGGTCTGATAAAGGATTAAAACCTTGAGAGCAGGTATGGTGAGAAGTGATGGGCAGGGTCAGAGCATTCTGAGGCCCAGTGGGGTACAGTGGTCTTCCATACTGTGGGTATGGGAATGTCTTTAAGGCAGAAGGAGAATTCTCAACATAGTGCCCGTGTGTCATGGGCATATAGTGTTTGTGGGATGGGTGAAACGCTACCATTATCATAAGCAGTGTAAACTCAGTTATTAGGATGGTAGCTTTTAGTTATTTGGCAGCCTACTTGGACTGACTGACACTTAGTTTATGTTGAGAAATTGCCTTCAAACCTTTTGATGTTAGGGCCTTTTTATACTCTTAAAATTTGTTGAGAACCCCCAAATAATTTTATGTGACTGTGTTTCTCAGTGTTTTCTGCATTATAGAAAAGTTTAAAATATGAAAATATACAGATGTATTTAAAATTGCCAATAATTAACTCTAACTTTGGGTCAACTTTTCTGACCCTAAAAATTATATTTAACATCTATATAATGTATAGTTTTTTTAACATACATACAATTTTAAAGAAAATATAATTTTAATACAAGAAAAGAGGGAGAAGAGTGGCGTTTGTCTGGCATCTCTAACATTTGGCTAAGCACAAGTTGGCCGGGCTGCCCTCGCTGCCCCTGCATTCAGTCTGTGGTGATGTCAGGCACGGTGTGCACTCCATGGAGAATTGCACCCATGCTCACAAGGGAGTGAGGGCAGCACAGGTGATGTCTGGCACGTTTGATAGCTGAAGGAGTTCTGACTGGTCAGCCCTCAGAGTCCCCAGACCCTACTTGGAGAATCACCTTCTGAGTTGATGGACTAATAAATGCTATCAAATTCCTGTTTTTTGTTGAGATGCTATAGCCTTGCTTTAATTATGCTGGTCATCGTGGTAATCATTATGAGCCAAGTATTTCTTCCCTTACCTTTGCTTTGTCACACCCACATCCTCCTAAACACACACCGTATTCTTTAACTCAGTAGTCTGTACTTTCTGAATGGATCTCTAAACCTGCTCTGCAGTGACATTTCTGTCTCTGTTCTGAAAGTGAATGATTACCCATGCCTACATATTCTCTAACTGAATGTTGTGGGTGTGACCGATAAATTTTATTTTAAATAAGTGTTCCAAGAGGCCTTTTTCAATCCTAGACCACTGCTGTGGGGCAGCACTTTAAACCATTCCTAGTGTTCTGTTGCTTCTCTGTTGTTCTACTGTGGCCAGACCAGTGGAATTTGTTTTGCTAAAGTGCACAATGTTACTCTTTAGTTATTAAGGCAAGGTTACTAAAAGTACATACTGGATTTTATTCAAGGTATGGGAATGGATGGTCCAGGTTTTGGAGGAATGAATAGGATTGGAGGAGGTATGTATAAGCACTTATTTGTTTATTTATTTATTTTGCATGTACCCATTACTGTTTTTAGTGAACTAGAAAGAATTCTAAGGAAGAAAAGTTATGGTTCATTGCTGGCTCATGTTCTAAAGGCTGCTAGCAGAAATTAAGCCCGGTCTATACTTAAGGGAAGGTGATGTGTTAACAAGTAACTGCACAAGGTAGGGTGGATGACAAGCTTACTGGTGAGACCTAACATTTAGAAAATGTACCTTTCAGCTGCACAACTGACGGTAAAATCTCAACATTTATCTTTATTTCATAGGAATTGGGTTTGGTGGTCTGGAAGCAATGAATAGCATGGGAGGATTTGGTGGAGTGGGCCGAATGGGAGGTAGGTACCTGTATGCGGCGGGGATATGTTCACTGTGTGGACTGTTCCTGGTATTGAAATACCTTCCCCTCACTGAGGAAGGGGCGCTCTGGGTGTCTTCAGAGGGTGTATGGGCACTAGGGGATGAGGACCAGCACGCTGGGGATGGGCGTGGGGTGTGAGCCAAGTTGGGGAGATCAGGCGGTTTTACATGTTTGACTTCTGTTGTCTTTTCAGTTTAGTTTTAGGTTTTTGTCCTGAATGGTTTACCACGTATTGATGTACTTGAAAAAGTTAATTTGTTGCACAACCTTTTCAGAGCTGTACCGCAGTGCGATGACTAGTAGCATGGAGCGAGATTTTGGACGTGGTGATATTGGAATAAATCGAGGCTTTGGAGATTCATTTGGTAGACTTGGTAGGGCTGGCTGCACACTTCTTTCCTTTTTTCAGATTATATTTTTAAAAATTGTCCTTGTTTTGTGAAAAATCACAAATTTATAATGTTTCATTTAACTTATTACCTGATGAAAATGCTTTAGTAATTTTAATGTACTCTTTTTCTCAGTAAGATATTTGAACTATTTCCAGAATACTTTATAATTTTCAGTTACTATACATCTTCTGAGAGGATAGTACCTTAGGAATTTTGAAGTTTGATTATTTAAATTAATTAGTATATTATCTTTTCATCCTTGTTTAGGCAGTGCAATGATTGGAGGGTTTGCAGAAAGAATAGCTTCTAACATGGGACCAGTAGGATCTGGAATAAATGGGTTTAAATTTTACTAGAATTTATTCAGTGATATTTGAGCACTTGCAAAGATTTTGCAAGAGTAGTTATTGTAGCATAGTAATACTTTGCTCTTAAATGTTAATACGTCTTGTTATTTGAGAAATTTTGAGTTTCTGAACTAAGCTTTCTGTTTGATCACTGTTTAAAATTTCAATTTTCAATGTTACTTCTTTGATACTTCTAAATTAATATCAGAGTATATGTTAACTATCAGCCTATCCAAGAACCATCTCTTCACCTGAGAAACCTGACATTTCTCTGATTATGTGTCAGGAACAGTTTTTGCTTTAGCACCAACCTTGCTTCCCTTTTCTTTTCTGTACCAGCTATTAGTGAGTAGCTCATTTCTTCTGTAAACCTCGTGTGTCTTTTGGTAGAGATAGACATAACACTTTTGGAGACCTCCTGAGTTTGAGGGCTGCAGTTGAAAGAGGTGTTGATTTCCTCTCTTCTTAACCCTTTCCCAACCATGATAGAATGGAGAGTTGTTGCAGTGCTGGAAAATGCGGAATCTGTCCCCTCCTTCCCACCATATTTTAAGCCTTTTATGAAGTCTTAACCTCTGGTGCCTACTAGGCCATGTCTGTGTGAACTCTGTCCATACTTTATTGACTTCCTTTTGTTGATAAAAGTTCACAAACAGGTAATACAACCTACCCGAACTCGTCCAAAAGTGAATTCTAAAATCCTGTCAGCTGAAGTCATGTACTTCCGTTGTACCTTTCTCATTTTAGTCCTTATTTCAGCATTCTGTAGCCTTATTTTTCTATTAATCACAAGTTCCCCCACTTGCCTCTTTTATCTCATTGTTTATATTTCTGTTTCCCTTACTTTATACTTGTTATTAACAGAAAGCAACTTTGAAGGAGATGTTAATTTTTAGAATTCTTATGTATGGGAATATTTGACAGCTTTGACAGAATATTTGGTACAAGAATAAAGGATAAGTTTTGAGCATAAATATGACGGGAAAAATTAAAGAAGGTAGGATATAAGTTAATGCACAAGAATGAGTAGATATGAGGTAGGAACTAGATCCCCGTCTTTGGCTAAAGGGGAATAATAGCGTATTTTGTTGTTCCCTCCGTAAGTTGTGTGTAATATTGTGGTTAAAATTATTTTTTAGGATTATTAAAAATTGATGTTAAAAGAGAAATTGTATGGGAAACAGAGGTGAAGATTCTGAGGTAAAAGATTAGGAAAGGAATATTATGTAGGAGTATAATGAGAGCAACATGTGTACTGCAGTTGTAATAATTTGAGTTTATCTCCACATACCGTTCTTAAAAGTCATTATGCTTGCTGTTGGAAGATCTAAATAAGGATTAAAAACTACTATAAAAATAAAGTGATTGCTGGAGGATTTATATATATATGCTTTATGGCCAGAATATAATTTTATAAAGGTATATATGTATAATGTATATAGTAGCTAGAATTAAGATTTTTCACCTGACCAAATGTATACTATAATTCTCTTCCGGGCCGGGGATTTAGCTCAGTGGTTCCCTGCCTGCCTTGCAAGAGCAAGGTCCTGAGTTCGATCCCCGACACCAAAAAAAAAATTCTATTCCTTGGAGAATAATTATTTTGTCTGAATGAAAATTATTTTGTTTATATGTTATCTGATTATATAAATAAAATTTTCCCCTTTTTCTCAAAAATGATTCTCCTTTTTCTTTCCTTCCTCTTCTCTCCTTTTGCCCTGCCTCCTTGGTGAGAATTCAGGCGGTGGCATGGGTGGCATGAGCAGTGTGACTGGAGGCATGGGCATGGGTCTGGACCGCGTGAGCTCCAGCTTTGACAGAATGGGCCCGGGCATCGGCGCCATCCTGGAGAGGAGCATCGATATGGACCGAGGATTTCTGTCCGGGCCCATGGGGAGCGGGATGAGAGAGAGAATAGGCTCCAAAGGCAACCAGATATTTGTCAGAAATGTAAGGAAATAAATGGAGAGGATACTTAAAAATCTGTTTTCCCCCTTGTACGTATGTCATCAATATCTCTTTTCATTCTAGCTGCCTTTTGACTTGACTTGGCAGAAATTAAAAGAGAAATTCAGTCAGTGTGGTAAGTATGCCAGTGACTGCAGATATATTGATATTTATTGTAGAGGAAGAATGGGTTTTAAACTTAAGCACTGCTTAGGGCTTCACCTGTCCCCATGCCTATTTCTGGGTAGTCTGTGTGGTGTGCTAGGTCTGATTCCACTTCAGGTCATGAATTCTTTTGCTTTCTTTGGTCTTAGAACATTGCAGATTGCTAGTAGATCGCATGTTTAGAGTATAGCCTGTTATTGTCTCCTGTCAGCTTAAGCCTTGTTGTGTTACCTGATCTGTTAAGATTGTTGTTTGCATTAAAAAGGTTTTCCCTCAGGAGAAATCTTAATAAATGGCAGATGTACTCCCCTGTTGACAAGGTGGTGCAGTGGGTTGTCAGCGTGGCCCACTGGGGTGCTGACGTCAGGTGGTACGGGTTACTGGCGAGCCCCATTCTGCAGAGCACAGGAAGCCTCGCTGCCAGGAGGGTGTGCACCCTGGTGGCTCTTCGGATTACTTATCATCTGTAATGACCCTGGCTGTAATGGTACTGCCTATGGAGCTCTAATGTGTTCCTGGTCTCGGAACATCAGATGGTGTTTTAAAAGAGAGCCTCTCTTGCTGTCGGATAATAAGATACCCAGTCCTCACAGAACATAAGTGGGCATCTGCCTAGGTTGTTCTCTTGCTCCCTTTGCTGATTGTCTTTTTATTTTACACTAATGTAAAATTCAGGGAAGGAAATTTGATATTTGATATTTTTTAAAAAAGTTGTTGAAAACATTAATCAGCTAGTGAGAGAAAGCACGATAGTGGAGATGTTTCAAGGTGCCGGTAGTCTTTGTAGGAGTTCATAAGTTTACCAGAATGAGTCAGCAGCACCTGGCTGCAGATCCCAGAACCGCCAAGCACAGCATGGGCCCAGCAGGGCACAGCAGGGCCTTGGTGAGATGGGCGGTCAGGCAGTGGAGGTGATCTGTTGAGCGATTTCCCTGAGTGAAGGCACTGTCAGGCAGCTTTCCAAGGCGAAGAGCAGAGTGGGCCTGGGAGCTGACGGCCTGGGCAGTACTGAGGTGATTGCTTTACGCAGAGGCAGCCGTCTGGGGTAGCCAGCCAGCGAATGTGAAGGCTTGGGTGGGCTTCTGCTGGCGGTGGTTTTGTTGTAACTGAAGGGAAGTGGCAATTTTCTGAAAAGAAAATGTCTCCAAGACTGCATTAAAAAATTTCTACAGTAATTGTAGCCATCTAAAATAATGGTTATTTTTTTTTTTTTTACTTCATCATTTTAGCTCTTTTCTTATATCTTGTTTTGATCAGTCTATTATAGGATTGATCTTGCCTTTTATTTTCAGTTCTTTTTTTTGATATTTTTATTTATTTTTTACTTTTTATTTTACTGGTCCAGTTTAGATACACATAATGATAACATTCATCATAGGGAATTTGTACCTGTATATGATACATCTTTCCCCTTCTTTTTTTCCCATTCTCCCCTCCCTGCAATTCCCCTCTTCTCTATCTACAAAAGCCGTGTTTCCATTTTTTTCTTTCCATTCTTTATTTCTTGTTCCTCCTTTCCTTTTGCCCACTCCACTCCCTTGTTCCCCTTCTCATTTTCTTCCCATTTCCTAATGTCAGTTATACATTTTGGTCCTTATTTTCATTTTTTCATATGAGAGAAACAATGTAAACATGTATGTTTGATTTATTTTGCTTAAGAGTATGGTCTCAAGGTACATCCATTTACCTAGAAATGTCCCAGGCTCATCCTTCTTTATGTCAGAGTACTACTCCACTGTATTAAAAAAACCCCACATTTTTATCCATTCATCAGTTGATGGGCATATGGGCTGTTTTCAAGTTTTAGTTGTTACAGACTGTGCTGATGTAAACATGGGTACACATATATCGCTGTGGTATGATGCTTTTTATTCATTTGGGAAGATACCAAGAAGGGGAATAGCTGGGTTGAATGGAACTTCTAGTTGTAATTTTTTGAGGAATCTCCACACTGATTTCCACAGTGGTTGTACCAGTCTATACTCTCACCAGCAGTGGAGAAGGGTTCCTCTTTCCCCACAGCCCCACCAGCATTAGTTATTGGTCTTGATAGCAGCCATTCTTTCCTGGGGTGAGATAGAATCTCAGCATTGTTTTAATTTGCATCTCTCGAATGACCAGTAATGTTGAACATTTTTTCATATATTTATTTGCTGTTTCTATTTCTTCATCTGAGAAATGTCTGTTCATTTCAGTTGCCCATATTTGGATTGGGTCTTTAAAATTGGGGATTCTTTTGAGTTCTTTATATATTCTAGATGTTAGAATACACATTCTTGGCTGGGGATTTAGCTCAGTGGTTCTGCCACCTGCCTCGCAAGTGCAAGGTCCCAAGTTTGATCCCTGGTACCAAAAAAAAAAAAAAAAGAATACACATTCTTCTCAGCTACACATGGGATGTTCTCCAAAAGAGACCACATAGTAGTTTATAGAACATTCTTATAAGTAGATGCCAAGGAATCAAAATTATCCCATGCATATTTTCAGACCATTGGAATTGGAAATCAGTGGCAGAAGAAATAATAAGAACTCCATAGACACATGGAAATTAACACCTTCCTGAACAACCAATGGGTCACAGATGAAATTAAAGAAGAAATTAGACAGTTTCTATAATTAAACAGTAATGCCAGTACAACATACCAAAACTTATGGGGCGCAATGAAAATAGTCCTACTAGAGAAATTTATAGCAGTGAATTCCCATATCAGAAAAATAGAATGAGATCAAATAAACAACCTAATGTTGAACCTTAAGCTTCTAGAAAAAGAACAGCAAGTCAAGCCATAGTTCGTATGAGGGAGCAAATTATAAAGATCAGAGCAGAAATCAATGCAATGGAGAGTAAGAAAACAATACAAAGAATCAATAAAGAGTTGATTCTTTGAAAGATTAAATAAAATTGAGAAACCCTTAGCCAACCTAATCCAGGAAAGAAAAGGAGTCAAACCCATGCAATTGGAAATGAAAAGGGTGAAATCACAGCAGATCATGCAGAAATCCAGAAGATCATCAATACCTACTTCGAGAACCTATATTATAATAAGGTGGAAAACAGAAGAAATGAACAGATTCCTAGATATGTGTGAATTACCAAAGCTGAATCAAGAAGATATAAAAATTCTAAATAAACCAATATCAGTGAAATTGAAGATGTAATTAAAATCTTACCAACAAAGAAAAGCCTAGGCCCTGATGGATTCACTGCTGAATTCTTCCAGAAATTTACAGAAAATCTAATGCCACGAGGGGAAACAATATTCCCAAATTCATTCCTGGAAGCAAGCAATACCCTGATACCCAAACTAGGGAAGAATCCAACCAAAAAAATCTCTAATGAACATAGATGCAAAAATCCTCAATAAGATACTGGCAAATAGAATGCAGCAAGTCATCAAGAAGATTATACACCATGACCAAGTAGGATTCATCCCAGGGATGCAGGGATGGTTCAACATAGGGAAATCAAATACACCATATTAACAGAGCCAAGGACAAAAACCATATGATCCTCTCAATAGATGCAGAGAAAGTATTTGACAAGGTCCAACACCCATTCACGATAAAACCGTACAGAAAACTGGAATAGCTGGTCTTCCTCTCAATCTGATAAAAGCCATCTATGACAAACCAACAACCAACATCATACTAAATGGACAAACACTGGAAACTTTCACTCTTCAAATCAGGAACAAGACAAGGATGTCCACTGTCATCACTCTTATTCAATATAGTTTTGGATACATTAGCCAGAGTAATTACAAGAGAAATAAAAGGAATAAGGATAGGAAAGGAAGTTAAATTATGATTATTTGAGGATGACATGATACTCTACATAGAAGACCCCAAAAACTCCACCAAAAGACTTATTTTCAATTCTATTGTATAAGCTTCTGACTTTTAGATTTTTCAATTAAGGTAATCCCAAACTTACACAATTCCCTATCATCTCCCGCATTTTTAACCTTGAATTGCCTTGATGGCAAAGAAGTTATAATCACACCTAACGAAGTGTCCAGCTGTTTACAAGTACAGATGTACTGTCTGACTTGTGTGAACTGAAGCATCCATTTATCTTCCACATCAGTTTATTTATGTATTTACACACCTTTGAGGTTTTTCTTTCTCAGTATGGGACGATTTTGTTAACCTGATGCAAGCCAGTAATAGGTTCCTTGGGAATAAAAAGCCTGTTTTTTTTGTTCTCCTGACCCCAAGGTGAGTAAGTATATACTCTAACTTGCTTCTCACGAAGAGTCTAGTGGTAGTCTGCGTATCTCTCCTGTACATCTGCCAGGAAAGGAGCCAAGCTCCTGCTAATAAAATGTCTTCAGTGGTTAGCTGCCTTTGATGGAGCAGTTACGAAAGCTGAGAAAATACTATTTTATGGGTTATATTACCCTCAACACACCATTTCTGCAGCCTTTTTAATTCAGGAAAAATGTTCCAGGTCTCCCCAAATAGAACAAAATGAGAAGTGAGTATAATTGCTCTTTTCCAACTCCTCCTCCTATTCTAATCAGTCCCCCAAAGGTGATGTTTTTGAGCCCAGGCTGATAAGACATCGCACTAAAATAAATCTTTTCATCCTGCCATATCTGACTCCTCAGTGACATGCATCTTTAAGAAGGTGTAATACAAAGCCACTGCCTTCCTCAGGGTTGGAGCCCATACTGGTTCAGCTGGTGCTGATGGGGTCAGACAGGCGTCTTCAGACTCGAGCCTCTGTCCTCTGTGCATGAGCTGTGTGCTGATCTCTGGCCTGGTGATGAGGAGCCTAACATTTAGAACAGCAGCGCAGGGACCCTGTTCCCAGTCAGACCACGTAAACACAGAGATTTGCCTCACAGATTTCCGTGATGAGTAATTGTCACTGTCACTGGGCTTGTTAATTGTGTAGAAGGGAGGCTTGAGGTAGATTTTCTAAAGCACATAATGACTGCAAAGGTGGTAAATAGACTTTAAAATATAACAAAGATAATTGTAGGAGTAAAAATATTATGTGAGGAAAATTCATTGAGGGAAGCAGTTTGTTTTGTTGTTAAAGAACCAAAAAACGGAATTTTTGTCCTTTCATAATAATTATGCTTTCTTATGGTAGAATGTCTGATACTGGTATTTTCTCATGGTTATGTCACAGCCTTCTTCAGTAGATTTTATTGAACTATTTACTTATTTATAAATGCTTCAATTTGGTATATTTTTAGATAAGTTCTTACAGCGGTATCTCCCAAAATATACCCTATAAATGTTAGTAGACTGTGTTAAAACAGAAAGCTTTTTTTTAACGTAGGGTAAGTAATTTGTGTTAACTATTGTGTGTAAGAGCATACTGGTTTGTCCTGTACTATTGCTAAAGTATTAGTCCTGTTTTTTTTCTTGGAATCACATAAGATCAGTAGATATTTGCATCAGTTGAAGAAATCCTGAAAGCGTGTAAAAAAATCAGGCATGACTGATTTTTTTTTGGTACCGGGGATCGAACTCAGGCTGATTTTAATTACTTATATGAAACTAACTTTGTCTCCTGAATAACTTCTCATTAGAAAAGAAAATATCTCCATTGGCATTTTTGTCGGGTTAGAAAGAAACTTAGAAAACCTCCAGCTCCTACTGTGGGGTTTCCTGGTAGTCTCCGCTGAGACAGGTTTCCCTGGACTGAGCTGGGAGAGGTTCCCCAGCCTGCACCCGGGGATGCTGTCGCCCGGAAGGGACTGGACTGCTGTGAGGTCTGCATGTGGATTCTGGGCCCAGGGAGACCATTGAACCATTGAAGAGGAGTGAAAAGAGGAAGAGATTCTTGTCATGAGAGTCAGACAGTGAAACAGTGATGTGTTTTCCTTTGAAGTTTTGAAGATTTCTTGCTTGAGGGAACCCTGCTGTTACTTACAAACCTGTAGTGGGGTAATCAGGTTTAGAAAAACTCCAAGTTTTTAGGTAAAACTAGAATAAAGGAAAACCTAAAACCTTAAAGCCCTTCAAAGTTCTTCACAGCCCCCTCATAAAGTACCAATACTGCCGTTTATGAAAGTATGCTTCTTTAATTAAGCTTTCTTTTCTTTAGGGTGCCAGTATTCAGGATATTAGGAGAATCCTGGAGGTTGCAAAAAACATGTATATATCCTAGTTTAATTTTATGATCTTTACTGAGGAAATGGGATCAGTGTATTTTTTTTTAATTTAAAAAATTCTTTTTTCATTTTACCAGTTCACCTCTATAATGCATTTCTCTGAGATTTAGTCTGTTTTGTAACTTTCAGAACACATTTAAGAACTGGCTACCCTGCCTTACAAGATCATGGTTTTGCCTTAAAATGACATTTATTATTTTAGACCATTTAATAAGTGTCCAGAAGGAGAGAAGTTGGCAACCAGTTGGCTTTTTTTTCTTTAATGCAATAATAAGGGGTAGATGAGAGGACAAAAGTAGAAAAGTAGTCCAGGATGTTGTCGATAAGAGGTGGTTCAGATCAAGATTGCAGCAGGAGAACAGTTTTGCTCATGCATTAAAATTAAAAATTGAACCCCTCATCTGGAAAGGGCTTATGTGACCTTCTGACAGGACCGCCCCTTTTACACCCCTCCCCCTTTTCCTTTGTGTTTCTTCATTGAACTAAATTTGTCTGTCTGTCTGGTTTGGTTGCCAGACTAAAATTAGCCTATAGTGATGTGGTGGCTGTGATATTTGAATCTTCTTGCTTGATGTGTAATGTCTCAAGACCTTTAGCTTGCTGTCCATCTAGAGGGAAAGATGGAAGTGGTCACAGCCCACCCTGGCAAACTGTTTGGATGGACCCAATCCTGCATCCCAGTTACCTAAGTCTAGCCTCACTTCCTGCCTCTCACCGATGTGTAATTGTTGGTAGCTGCCCCTTTACTCTCCAAAGTGTTCTGGGTTAGATGATGGATTTTTATGGCCATATTGTATTTTGATAAATGATAGTGATTTACTTCAAATACCAGTATCTAGAGTTAGTAATACTATTTATTATCCGTGTAAGGAACAGTTGTCTGGTTTTCTTCTTTCTTCCTGAACCGTTTCTAAGGTTCTTCTTTGTGCTGTTAGGCGAACGTGAACGTGATAACCACTGCACTATGGAAACCACCCTGGAATTGTGCTGTGAACATCACTGTTTTTGCCTTTATTGATTTATTGTTTCTGTAACACTTGATTCCATCTTTAAGGCTTTGAGTCCAAATGGTGATACCAACCGAGTGGCTTTGGTACTCAGGTTGAAAAACAGAATTGGTGGGGCCTTTTGCGGCCCCAAAGAACTTAGATTTTGGGGCAGTTACCCTTATTTGTAGGGGCCAAAGTAGTAAAGTGAGGATAAAAGGGAACAGGAGAGATTAGGAAGACCAAGCAGTGAGCAACCATTTATTCTAAAAATAGTTTTCATCATATGTGCAAGTTTGCTATGGATCATGGTGAGTGGGTGGTGTTTTGTGCTAGTTACCGTAGCCTTACTGCAAAAAAATTCACTGCAGAAATTAGTAATTTAACAAAAATAAAACATGGCAAGTCCTAGGCAGATTTGTCCCAATTCAAATTTTATATATGCTAATAAACATTTATTACTTTATGTGGATTGTATTGCATTCAGAATATAAAATAACAATGCTCATATAATGCATTATTTTGTATCATTAATGCTAATATTTCTAACCAAATTATCATTTCATTGGCTATGAGGAATTTCAAGCCTGTGTAGTGAAATGACTAATAATTGTGTAATGTTTTATTTCACAGGTCATGTAATGTTTGCTGAAATAAAAATGGAGAATGGAAAGTCAAAAGGCTGTGGAACAGTCCGGTTTGACTCCCCAGAGTCAGCTGAAAAGGCCTGCAGAATAATGAACGGCATCAAAATCAGTGGCAGAGAAATTGATGTCCGCTTAGATCGTAATGCGTAATTTCAACTATGGTTGGAACATTCCTTCATTTGTTTTTGCTGAGTCTTCTAGTTAAAATCATTTTTTTGTTTTAGTAATACTGTATGCTGACAAAGGCTGTAAAAATGAACTTTTAAAATTCCCACCAGCTTTCAACAGTATAATGTTAAAAATATACTGTGATTTTTGTTAATCTTGTGTTGGGTTTCTAAAAACAGCAAGTCTGGTCATTCAGTTTAAATGAATGGTTATACTGTTTTTAAAGAAATAAGCCATTTTCTTGTTTTCACTATGACATGGTAGGGTTTGTTTGTTCTAGGTGCCCCAGCTTTTATCAACTTATTGTAAGTAAAAGATAGATGGTTTTTTCAAAACTTCTGTTTTGTAATCCAAAGTTGTCCATGAAAAGAAGGGCTCAGACTAATCAGAATATAATTTTGGTTGGTTTTAAAGTACTTTTCTTTGGCATAAAGAATTACTATAAGTGTTAGATTATAAAGTTAAGGATGTTTTTATTTGATTTAAACAAAGAAAGGGATTTTTCCTTCACTGTACTCCCATTCAAATTTTCCACATAACACTATTAATAAAATCAACCTCCACAGCCCCTTATTTTATTATTTCCAATAATTCCAAGTTCATATAGAACTGATAGTGTAGTGAGCCCCACGTACAGTAATAGGCAGACTACTCCTAACTTTCTGTCTAGTTTCCAGCCATTAAAGTGAACTGCTAGAAAAAGAAAAAGAATTGAAATGCTAAGGGAGATGGTTATGTAGGTGAGTCCTCTGCTGCTCACACCTACAGGAGCTGATGTGTTTGCAAATGCAGTGTGAAGGAGCCAGGGAGCGCCCAAGCATAGCATATCAAAGACGTTGGATCCTACGATGTTAGACATAGCCATGTCTCCTTTCCCTGCAGACGAGAAGCATGTTGTTAAAATGTGCATACCAGTACTGTATTTTATTAATCATCTTTGTAAGAAAAACACTGGATACTTTTTTTTGGTGATTAGTTTTGGAAAATTGTTATTAGATTGCGTCTTGTTGAATTTGTATTTTAAACTTTTTCTTCGGTTAGTATTTAAAGTCTTAACATTTATTTAATAATAATTATTTATTAAACCATTTTCCAACAAGGTATGTAGCTTACTCATTGCTTTTCATTCTAATTTAACATAGTTAATTACTACTCACTGCACATTCCAGTGTTATTTGGGGGATTAGATTAAGTGAAGTCAATATGCTATTATATAGTAAACTCTTACTCTTTTAAGTGAGGAAATCAGTATTTTTAAAGCTACTTTGACTCGGAGTATTTTAACCAGCCCTCTAGAATGGGCACTGCAGCTCGAATTTGAGGCCACGCTTCTTACCTTTTCTCGCCACCAGCACACTTGCAATGGTGTCAGGAATGCTGGTTCCCGCTGCTAGCAGCGTGAGACCCATCACGGTGTCTGGGATCTGCAGTGTTTCCCCTGTGGCAACACGGACGCTGCATGTTACACATCTTACCTTCTCTGCAGGCACTTCAGATGGCTCCTTCTTGTTCAGAAAGAACCATGGCCATGTTTAGATGAACTTTTTGTCCTTTTATTATTAGTGCCTATTAATTTTTACAAAATAGTAGGTTTCAATGCATGTATTTTTGATCATATCCACTACCCCCCCCCATGTTTAGATTTCTGAACCAGTAATGTGCTTAGTTTTTAACTAGCAAAATATTTGGAATCAGGTTGGTAATGTGCATAACTCAGGTAGTACAGATTTTTAAAATACTTAGCAGCCAAACTTCTGCCAGTGAGGAATGACCTTATTTGTTACCCTTACAGAAATTGTACATGTCTGCAGTTACATCATTTGGACTATTACGTAGTATATGCTAAGGAGATTAATCATTTTCTTCTATTTAAAAACAATTTTTAAAGTATTAGAGTTAAAGTATAGCTATTTTTAAGCTCTAGATGTGTTAAGATGTATACATTTTTTAAATTCCTGCTTTGGTGACATAACCGTAATATATTTAGTGTTTTCTTGGTAAAAATCTATGTATCTCTGATGAAAATGAACCTTGTTGGTTTTCTATTTGAGTCTTTATAATATATAGTCCCAATTTATTAATACTTCTGTTAAATTTGATGTCACTTCAACATTTGTCCTGGAAACAGAAACAGGGAAGGGCACATGTAACTGCTCTTTTAATGTGATTGGAAATGTGGCTAGAATCTTTATTTAAAGTCTCTTTGAACATACTAAGGAAAAGAACTTAATTAGAAAGTAGCTTACTTACTGCATACTTACATGCTGGTATTGGAATTGTTGTTAATTTTTGTCACTAGCTTTGGTAGAGTTCATATGTACATAAATAGCACCATTCTTTAGCATCTTAAGGCGCTGTTCTGTGATCTTTTACTTGATTTTGCTCTCTTCCTATTTTCTTAATAGCAAATGTGCTCTGAGAAAATTTGGATAGGTTTAATATGCAAACTAATTGGACATTTTCATCTTCATTAAAAAGAAAAATATTCTGCTTTTTGCTAGCATGCTATTCTAATACATACATTAACTTAGGAAAGTCAGAGTAAGCAGATTCAGGGACGAAAGGCCAGATAGTAATTATGTAGACTTTGCAGGCCCTCTGCAGTTACTAAGCCCCACCAGTGTAGTGTGAAAGCAGTCACAGATGACATGTAAATGAGTGGACTGTGATCGGTACAGCTTCATTAATAAAAGTAGGCAGGGCGATGGGGCACACTCGTCAATAGTTATGTCAGACACGGACCTCTGGGGTGTGCCAGTTCAGTTTAGCCTTTTTGAGAGACACCCCCCTCCCCCCACCCCCGGTCTATATCTATATTCAATTTTCATTTGGGAATAAGAGCAGATTATGACCAAGCAAAAATAGGTAAGTCTTAATCATGAAAATAGTAGAAACCTAAGTGGAAACTTTTATTTTGTATCCTTTTCAGTAATTTTATAGTATATTTATGTTGCCATATTGAAAAGCAAAATAAAATGTAATCTACTTAAAGCAGTGAGCACCCATTATTTCCCCAAAACACTGGCTCCTTGATCTGTTTTTTCATTATGGAATAGAATTAGGTATAAGAGATTCATTTATTGTGAAGTCCAAATAATGTAACTTATAGCATTATAGAAAGGGATATGAAAGGTATACTTTGATTTTATTTATAAGATGATTCCTGAAATTATACTTCATGCTGTGTAATAGGGAGAATGTAGCTGATATGTAAGGTACAACTTACAAAATCTGAGTGCTCTTGTTATTATATTTACATTTAATCTTTTTGTAAATAGCACTTTTTGTCCTAGTGAAAGAGAAGTGCTCCCTAGACTTCTTTGAGTGAAAACATGCAGTTTATTCTTACATGGAATGGTTTCTTGTTGTCCTGTTATATTAGAATACATACCAGTTATAGTGACCATCCAAACCAGGACATAAGTAAATGCACATATCCATAGTGCAGACATGAAGAGGGTTAGCACGTAGTAGTGTTTCCAAAACTTTCTTCGACAATCTGGTGTCGTTAGAAAAAGCAATGTAGTGATAGGCAGGGATAATACCCAAAAAATTCTTTTAAAGTCTGCTTCAGGCATGTGGAAAACACTTGGTGGATCTGTTGTGGAAAAATTAGACAGTTTGGAGTTTTCTCAAATGGCCAGTTAAGTTAGAAATGCCCATTTAGAGAGCTATATTGAAATAAATTAGCTGTGTCAGTTTTTAAAAGGCTTTTTAGAGCATTTGAATACCTCATTACTGATATTGCTGGCAAAAAGAAACCAATTGAAACTTTAGGGCAAACAATGCAAGATGTCACACTCAGCATTTTTTGATTTAGGACCTTAAGTCCATCAGAATGTCACGGGGCATTTTCTAAATGTGCTAGACACATTGTTTAAGAGGTGGGAGTTGTTATCTCTGGGCTCTCTCTCTAGATTGTCCTCTGGACTTTTTGGTTTGGCCATCGGCCTGGCGGGCTGTTCATCTCCCTGTCTTTCCAGCACTGATGAGACCTCTGACCCGGCCTACCATAATGCACACTTCGGGGATGTAGCATAGTGACAGCAGACTCATTAAGTTGCATATTCTACACTAACTTATAGTGAGTTTTTTGTCTGTATCATTACTTTATTTACTAAATTCAGGTTTCTTGACAGTTCCTGAAAAGAACCTTAAGAAAATAGGAACTAGAATAATCTACAATACAGTTTATACAATTTGAGGGTATCCTTTTATCCAGTTTCTTTAAAGATCGTGCAGGACAGGGATAGTAACAATACATTAGATAAAAATGAGTACTCATTTTGGAATTGTTTAAAATTTGCATGGCATTTATAAAATAATGTAGTTTTATTGAAGCAAATCACATTACAAGTAATGCTAGTAAAATAACCCATAAGTTTACCAAGCCTCAACCGATGTGCCATTAGTTAATATTAGATATAATGTGAATGTAATAAAAGAATTTGGATGGGCTCTTTTGAGTTCCTTGTTATAAAACTTAGAGACACATACCTCTTGAACTTTAAAGACTAGAAGCTAATTTTTATAAGAAAAGGAAAAAGGTCATGTTTTAATTTTTTTAAGTGGTAAATTAGAATAAGTTTCCTTTCTAATTAAAATAATTTCTTAATTAAAATAAAATCATATGCAGCCAGTTTTTTAAAAAGTGCTCATAAATTTAAACTTCTAGCCATAGCTGAGTTTGACTTCCACTGAACATATTTATCAAAATGTTTTGCTGCTGCTTCACCTGATGTTTAAACCTCAGCTGTTTTTTTTCTCTTCCTCCGACCCGGTCCCTTTTAACAGCCAGTTTCGTAAGGGGTGTCCCTGTTCTCAGTCACGACTGACGCCATGGAGTTCTCTCCCCTTTCCTGGCCTCGCAGTCCTGTGTCACCAAGTCTTGGTGCCGCTTGCTCTGCATTGTCTCAGGCATGGGCACCGCGTCCCGCGCGCACACATCGCTGTGCCACAGCCTCTTGCAGACCCCTGTCTCTGACCCGTGTGGGGTTGTGTGGTCACTGCTTCAGGTGATGTTCCTAAAGCACAGGTCTAGTAATGTTCCTGCTCACACACCTTCCAATACTCATGCACCAGCATTTAGGGCCCCTGTTGCACTTCTTCCCGTCCATCTTTCCTCTGCTTCCTTACCAAGCAAGTAACTGCCTGGGCTCCATTTGTGCAAGTACTTCAGCAGGCCTTTGCTGATGTTCCCTTGGCCTCAGTACACCAAATATGCTTTACTGGTTTCTGTGTATTTAGGTAATAAAGATTTTAGTTCCTCTTACTGGTTATAACGTCCTACAAAGTTCAGTTACATCCTCCTTTCTCTGTGTTAATCTGTCATTGCCAGAATTTATACAGTCTGTTCCATTTCTGAACTACAGTTTATTTTATTGTTGAAATAACACCAGGAACTCTGTAAGGGCTGGAACTTCATCCTGTCTGAACCTCTGCGGTATTACATAGTAGGTACGCAACAGTTGCTAAACTGAAGTGAGACTGACTCTTAGGACTTTCCTGGTGGATAGTCTTACTGGTGGGCAGGCCGTAGTTACCTTCAGAAACTCCACTGAGGCCATGTAAACTTAGAGAGAGCTGGGAGTAACCAGAGTCTTCATGAAATATCCCACTGTCGGTTCTTGACTGCCGGCGAATGAATGGCTGACTCTCATTTTCCCATTCCATCAGTACCTGCTCGCCTCTCCCCTCCATCGCTTTGGCAAGACAGGTGGAGCAAGGACTGCATTTCCTTATAATGCATTGCTGAATCTTAACGTCAAAACACAACACCAAGACATAGAGTCCGTATATCAAAAGCAGTAAACCTCCTTCATACCTAGAAATTAAAGAGATATTTTGATTTTTGAATTTAAAGCAGAAGTAATTTTAGAGTTGATAACTTTTGGACAGTGTTCTTTTCATATCTTTTTTTTTTTTTTTTTT